ATGACATCGCGCACACTGAAGGCCATTCTTCTAGTGGAATCGGGACGGGAAGCGACAAGTGAGTGGTCAGTGTGAGGATGCCATGGAGGAGATTGTGTGGAGACGCGGAGGAGATGAGAGATTATGGTCAATCGTGGGCTGAGCTGAAGAGGACGGCACAAAACAAAATAAGGTGGAAATGTGTTACTGAAGCCCTATGCTCCACTCGGAACCCAAGGGAACAATAATAATAATGATAAACAACGGAAAGAACATCTCCCACAGCTAGACTCATTCCAGTTTACAACACAGTATGCTCGTTAACCCAGTCAAAGATAGATAAGTATCCTGCTCATATCAACTTCAATTGCATTTACCATTTCACATGCAAGTACAAAGGAAGGACTGAGAGGAGAGCATCTACTGGATTCTGCGAGCATATCCCTAAAAGTATCCGTTTGAAAAATAGCGAAGTATTCTCAAGCGCGATCGCCAGACACCTAATTAACATGGGACATACAGTGGAAACTAGTTAGGCTTTCAAAATAATCAACACATAAAGAAAAGCATGGTTATTTTGGTTCGCAGAAGCCATCGCAATCAAAAGACTTTGACCCAACCTTTGCATTCAGAAACATAGTATGACTAATCTATCACTACTCTGGTAACCATAGCTGTTTTGTTCGTGTGCTATTGTGTTTTGTTCTGTTGCATAACATTTCACTCAATCTTGATTTTTACTCAATCCCTTACTATTTCACCATTGTTTTATTTTCTATCATGCCATACTTGTCATGTGCTAACTGCCATCTCTACTACTTTGTGAATTTTAATCACACCATATCAGTATTAGGTTAAATTATTTTGTTTTGTCTTAATCGAATACTCAGTGTCATCTTTTAATAGCGATCTGTACTTTTGTCTGTGATGAGTAATCAGGTCATGTACTACATTCGTATTGTTGTGTAGATGTGCAAACACCACTTATTTTGTGTGTTTTTGATTGTACCACTGAATTATGTTAAATTATTTGCAATCGATAATGGTATCTTAAATTTTCAAGAGTTTGTTTGCAGGAATTTGAATTGTTTCAAGTTTGAACACAAACTGATATCACTTAGAGAACTACTGAGAGCTAGCATGGAGTACTGGACAGTTGTTTCGTCCTAGATTAGGACTCTTCGAGTGTACTCACCCACTGGGTTCCGAACCCAGTACCTTCTGGTTACAAGGTCAGTGAGCTCGTAGACCATTAAGCCACTAGGACCCGATCCAATGGCCAGCCCATGAATTGTAACTTCTGCCAATTCACGAAATAGCGTGACCACTAGCCAATATCTTCGGCAAGTATTTGTCCTACACAGAAATTCATCACATAATAATTGTATACTTGTGTGACATTTTAGAAAAGGCCTCCGTTGCATTAAACTACTATTGGAATTCACAGAGAGAATTTAACAGATTGACATCAAAGTTAAAACGATGATATCTTTGGACGTAATATCTTAATTTACAAATATACCTCTAATTGGAACGGTTAATTCTATCTGTGAGCAAGTAAATAACCAGTCGATAAATATTGGGATCCCTGTTGACATTCTTAAAGAATTGTTACTAAAGTGTAACATGAATGTGAATTTAAAATTGACGGTGAACTCTATAGACAGGTGGATAGAGTGGCAATGGGCTCTCCTACGAACAAGAAGACCAGATGGTGGCATAAAAAGGAATTCGCATAAGAAAATTACTTGAACCGGTCAAAATATATTTTTTCACAGCTTTCTTCCTCTCTGGTGTAAAAGAAATTTCATAAAGACCCTCGTCTATAGGATTACAGCCGTTTGTTCAGAAGAGGTCAGTGAAGACAGACTTATAGTTGTATACGACATATTAATTAAAAACACCTACCCTGAAAAGTTCATCACCAAACACATAACCGAGAGAGCAGAAAAGAATTCTTCTGTATCTGCAAACAAGAATCCTCAATATATACGAGGACAATTCGAAGATGATCTACCATGCGAAATACCGATAACCAACAAGTTAATAAAACCGATTCAAAGAACATTTAACGCTGGAAAGCTGAAGCTTGTATTTTCCACACAACTGGCTAGCCACACCTAATTGTATCTATCAGTTCGACTGCTTCTGTGGAGCCTGTTGTATTGGCCGCTGCTCTAGGAACCTAGTTTTTAGTGCTCGGAAACAACTACCAGTGTGGTCAAACAAGGGTGCAGTTAAAACCGTCAGCAGCTCTATATAGGACCACCTGTACAAACAGGCCACAAAGCCAGCAGCATTGAAGAGTCTTTCTCTATCACCTATCGGATATCGAAAAAATTACCAAATGCCCCTAAATACTGAACATTCTAAGCAGCAGAGGTCATTCCAATTTGCCTAAATCAACCGGAACTCTACATGTAAAAGAAACACATCCTGCTGTCTAACCCATAAATTCAGACATTTTGTGTTACTTCCCTTAATTTGTTTAACATTCAGTCAGTTTCGTGTTATACTACTGCAAATTATCTCTTACTGATGCTTTCGAAATGTAATCTATCGATACTACTGATTTGATGTAGTTTAAAACAGCGTTTATGTTGTTAATAACAATATTCCTTTAATAATTATCGTCAGATAAATAAAGAATCTAATGAAGAGGAATCTATAGAAAAGAATATTTTCTATATAAGTATAAAACTTGGGTACTGTGGTAGAGTATAACTCCATTATGGATAAGATTTTATTTTGATAATTCACACACTGTTATACAGTAATATTAACTGATGTGACCACCTTTCGAGCACAAATTATTGCAACTCATAATCATATCAAGTCACACAACTTTTTACTTCATTTATATACATGAGTGAAATTCATGATTAGACATTTGAATAAAAAAGCAATATAAGATAATGCACATTTAGAAATAATATTAGTGTTATCAATCAAATACAATCTTAACCCTCTCCCACCCTATTGTGTGGTTGTGTGCTAATGCATGCAGTGCAATTGTTGAGCTTTTTTCTAAATTACTCATCTTCTCGGGGTCAACCATTCTTACCTTAGCTAAATTCTTATGTTCCGACAATCTAATTACCCCAAATTTATTAGTTTGACCTATGTAGTTGACTTAACTCACAATCATTGCAAGGTATTTTGTAAATTATATTATTTTGTTTAATTGGGTCCACCGGGTCCTGTAGCCTACAGAGCTTGTCTCTGAGTGAGTTTGCAGGTTTGAATGCCACTCTAATTCCTGCTTTATTAAGAATCCTACGTAGGGTCTCAGATGTCCCCTCCGTATAACAGTAGATGCCTTGTATTCCTTCTTATTTATGTTATCATTACTAGTTTCACAATTATTTCTTATTTGCTTTTGGCCTTTGTCGGAACATAAGAATTTAGCTAAGGTAAGAATGGTTGACCCCGAGAAGATAAGCAATTTAGAAAAAAGCTCAGCAATTGCACTACATGCAACAACACACAACCACACAATAGGGTGGGAGAGGGTTAAGATTCTAAGAAGTAATCTATGTAGGTGGAGAGAGAGATTGATTAATGAATCCTGCCTGTTTGTGCTCGAAGCGTCATCAGTCAGTATTACTGTATAACAGTGTGTGATTTATCAAAATAAAATCTTATCCATAATGAATATTTTCTATAGTTGGTTTGTAAAGATTAGTTTTATTTTTACAAATTGATCACGGATTGATATCAGTTAGAGAAACACCACTGAAAACCAGGGAGTGCTGGACAGTTGTTTCATTCTATTTTGTGTATCATCGGCAGTCTGCACCCACTCCTAGAGTTCGAATCCAGGACCTTCCGGTTACAAGGCAAGCTGGCTCGTATACCATTCAGCCACTGACATCCTGTTCAATGGTCAGTCCATGAATTCTAACTTCTACCATTTCGTGATCTGTTTCAGCGCGACCCCAACCAATATTGTCGGTGGGCATCCATCCTCACACGTGACATCTGGATGGACCTCACTGGTCACGACTTCTCACTAGAACTCCAGGAAACTCCATCCTGTAGCAAGTCACTAGCGAGCATCAGATTAATTTTCTATAGTTGGTTTGTAAGGATTAGTTGTGGATGCGTACTGCCGATGATTTCCAAACTAGGATGAAACAGCTGTCCAGCAGTACTCCAGTGCTGGTTTTCAATGGTTCTCTAACTGATGTCAATCCGTGATCAACTCGTAAAAGAAAAGAATATTCTTTATTCACCCATCAGTCTTTTTAATTTCCAGTGGGCATCCTCCTATTTGGGACTCGTCATCTGGATGTACCTGCATCCCCCTGTGAATGATGATGTACCCATAGAGGCTCGAACCTAGTGCCCATAGTTTCAGTATAATATTCATCATAGACTGACCGTTACTGAACTGTCAAGAAGTGCAGAAAAGCTGTTACGTTCTAACCGCCTATTGACTGTTCATCAATGAGCATTCACAGTACTATGATAAACAGAACACAAGTTAGTTAAGTTCTGTAACAGACAGATCACCATTAAATAAATGGATGAGATTTTAATAGCACAAGATATATTTCGCTGTACTTTTAGTAATAGTGTGATGTAAAAAAAAAACATTGATTAGTTGTCAGGTGAAGGATTTCATGTTAATTTGAAATTATTCACATTTTCTATGGAATTTAACTAATGGCAAAGCGCACTTCGTTCTTCTTGTTCCATCTTTTAAAATGATGAAGCAGCTGGTTTTCCAACATCAGACAATTTACTATTTATGATTTCTAAAATTAAATAATAACATTGGGAAATAATTCAGACAAAACAAAAAACATTTTTTGGCAAACAACACGCCGGTTATGATTCCGATTAAGACTAACACATATCACGCTTCTAAACATCAAGTTTGGCGTGACCTGAAATTTCTAGCATTGAATCGACCAATCATAAGAAGGAGGGTAAGATAGACACACATGATCTTAACCAATCAGGAGATTTGTTGTTGTCTGACTGATTTATAAGGTCAGTGAATAATTCCGACTGTCATATTGCTTTGTTTCACTCCGTATGGCGATGATGGATTCTGTGCCTTCCCAATCTGATTTCAGTGTGGAACGATTTATTGGTCGTGGATGCTACTCAATTGTTTATGAAGTTCGAAAGACAACAGGTTCTGATATCAATTCGAAATATGCTTTGAAACGTTTTTTCCTGGAAAGTGACTCTTCAATTAGATGTGTTTTGAGGGAAAGAAAAATTTTGGAACGATTAGCGTTAGCTGATTCACAAAGTCCTTTCCTTCCTATGTTGTACTATAGTATATGGAAAAATTGTGTGTCGGCGTTTGTACTTCGGGAAGGGTCAGGCTGTGACCTTTATGATTTATTATGCCATGTAGGCTGTCTTTCTGAAACCAATGCAAGATTTTACATTGCGGAGATTATATGTGGTCTGGAACATCTGCATTCCTTGAATATCGTTCATTTGGATGTTAAACCTGAAAACATTTTATTTTATCCAGATGGTCATGTATTTGTTTCTGATTTGGATCGATCTTACGATCTTTCACAAAATGGTAAGCCTACGCTGGACGATTTCACTGGAACACCATTATTTATGGCTCCAGAAGTTGCACGTGGTGAAATTATAGATGTGCGATCAGATACCTGGAGTTTGGGTGTTCTTACAGCGGAGATGATTACAGGTCCAATACGCTCGGAAGCTGAAAACACTGCTGAAGCCTTTCGAAAGGCTCGTATGGGTACATACACTATACGTGGATTAAAACGTCTTTCAAAACCGCTTCAGTCATTTTTCAGCGCATGTCTACAACGTCAACATACACAGCGTCCTTATCTAAAAGGTGTTAAAGAATTAAGATTTTTAAAGCCTATTGACTGGTGTAAAGCAGAGTCTCGCCTTCTACGTCCACCATATTCAACTTCAGAACTGCAACACAGAGAATCAAAGTATGAAAAGACTAAAATATGTTCCACTGATGCACAACTATTATCTGGAGCATTTAGTCCTATAAAGCCAGTTAATTTATCGAAAAAGTCACAAATGAAAACCAATGAAGTTAACGTGGATGGTGTTGTAACTTCTCCCGAAAGTATCCCTGCATCTTTGATTAAAGATGGATATACTAAAGAGAAACTGGATTCCTTGTTCAGTACCTTCAGTTTTACACATCCTACTTTACAAAGTTGTAAGACGACAGACATTACAGATTCATTATCTAAACTAACTGTAAAGACCGAAAGCTCAGACAGCATGTTGGCAAATACAAACTTGTGTATGAAGCATGCTGAAATCATAGCTAGTGAGAATTCAATGGTTCCTGTGCGTATCCGAAGATCCAGAACCCGAGGTACATCTATTGGGGATTGACTATCACCCATTTCAAAATTATTTCTAAGTTATACGGTGATGAACTTGACTGTTTTATCCCATAATATTATAACTTATGGATCCGTTAAACACAGACAAGTAATGATTTTATGTGATTTTGAAGCTGTTTTAATTTCTTTTAATAATTGTACACATTTTATATTCTTCAAGCATATAATATGTTTTATACGTCATGGTGTCTTTCTTGATGTTCTAAGGTGGGTAATGAGGATTGGTAGTGTTGTTTTTGATGTGATTTCATACGCTAAGTATACATGACCTGAGATTGTTTCTTGTATGTGTAGTCAACGTGAAAGTGTAGTTCGTTATTGTGTTCCTAGAGCTGTAAACGGTCTAACTGTGAAAAATTAACAATTAAAACCTTCCAGCTCAGAGAATACACACCTAGATCCATCCGCCTAGCTGTGCATAAGCGATAGTTTAGGATTACTGTGGTTGAAAAATTTCTGTTTGTCGGTTCTTGATGACGTTTTTGCTGTAGGACTGTGCAAATTTACGAATAGTCTTTTCTTATTGTTACTAAATTAGGCGTCCGAAATACCTTTATAGATAGTAGTATCAATAGGAAAACAACTTTGTTGTGTGTAGAGTATTCGCTCGTTACTAGGAATAGTTATTGTGTTCGTACTATATGTGACTTAAATTTCTTGTGCCAGTTACAAATTGAGTGTAAGATTGTACCAGGAATTTGTTGTGTGTGTGTAGTACTCTCTAGGAATTCCTGCTTGCGTAAGCTCTAACGACTGAAACATAATATCGTGGAACCGTTGAAAACTTTTTTAGGCAAAGTATGAGGACAAATACTCGCCGAAGACATTGGCTAGAGGTCGCGCTATGTTGTGAATTGGCAGAAGTCGGGATTCATGCTCTAGCCATTGGATCGGGTCCCAGTGGTTTAATGGTCTACGAGCTCGCTAGCCTTGTAACCAGAAGGTCCTGAGTTCGGACCCTAGTGGTGGATGTGTACCGATGAAGAGTCCCAAACTAGGCTGACGAAACAGCTGACTGTCAGTACTCCCTGCAGGTTTTCCAATGGTTCTCTAACCGATGTCAGTTCATTATGAAATCCTCTAACCAAAAGCAATAATGCGTCGTTAGCTTAAGGTGCAGTAATACAGCACAATTGTTGTTAGGAGTTGACTATCGAATGTCTTGTCATATTGTGACACTATCATTGACGTTCTGCCTTTCTTGATTTAAACATACATATCGGAATTGTAGGACTACCTACCTATAGTGTATAGTTGGTTACTGATGTATATATGGTTAGAAAAGTTTCTAGCTAGTATATTTTCTATGACTTCATTGAATAGAAGAACCATGTTGTAAGTTGTAACCGGTTGTCTGCGTACAAGTTTCTCTTTCAGCATATACTTGGTTTATTACAAAATGGCTTTGTCGGATGCTAAATAATGTTTTGTAAAACCTGTAGTGTGTAATTTATTTCCTGAAACAACGACGAAGAGGAATGATTTATATATCTCCACCTACTGCCATGTGTCTGGAACCAATGTAGGGAATGTTCTGTATCTGCGGACTGACAAAGTTGTTGAATTTTTGGTCTGCCAGCCGTCAGATTTGTAATACTGTGTCGTTTTGCTTGTGAATACATTATGCTTTAGGGATGCTTACTGCAAACAGGAATAAACTAAGTCATCTTCTGATGAGAATTATAGAAATGAGCTTTGTGAATGTTGGGTGCACAGTCTCCTCGAGTTTATTTATCGCCACCAAGTCTCAGGATTAATAGCGTAATGAATGGAATACGCGTTACCAATGCCATCAGTTCCATAGCTCTTATATTTACTTGGGGCAAATATTATTTCTACGTCGGACAATTTATTATCGTAAGGATTTCTTGACCATCAAAATTTAGGTTTAGCGAAATATTTTTCGTCGCTTAATGCAGCTGAAAGTTCCTTGGCAAAGATTGTTATTTGTATAGACAGATATATAAAGAAAAATATAATGGAGAGAACAGTAGCTGATTATCTGGGATATAAACTGTAACTGTTTGAGATTCAGTGTACACAACCTCATGAAATTCTACGTTAAGTTCTTAGCTTCAAGAAAAAATATCTTTTTGAAACTCTACGTTTATTCTTGAGACGTGGTTACTGCAGTTGCGCGAATGAATAAATAGCGTCGATACAACTGATTCTAGAAGTATGTTATCAACATTTCCAATATGCAACACCTGAATGTGAACACCATGATATCTAATTCAAATCCTTTAGGTAGTTAACTGTTAGACACTTATGAGATTAAGACTGTTTTGATGGAGCCTAGCTCTTCTGTGGTTACTGTAAGGCGGATAATTTCCCAAAAACTGAAGTGACTTGCGATTAAGGCCGACCAACGAGTTTTTCTGACTCTCATACCCTGGCTAAAACCCTAACTACTAGCAAATCAAATCCTGCTACCTCTGTTTAAGGTTACTTAATCTCAGAAAGTTTTGCTACAGGCTATTCCAATCCCTGGACAGTTGGGAATCAAACAGTAAATGTTGCTAGATGCCAGTTGAAGCATTTTTTATGTCCATACGACTGTCTACTCTTAGAATAGATTGCGGCTTCATATAAGGTCTTAGTTTCCCTTAATTCTTATACGTTCATGAGTCTAAAGAAATTCTGACTATTACACATTATCCCTGCCTTCTCCATCTATTTAACCGTTTTTGTCTGCGATATCAGATTAAGATTATCCCATGGCCTCTGCTTATATTCCTTATTCGCATTTCTGACACACGGTTTACACTGAGATGAGTAACGACACCCCACTCCTCCAGAACGTAGTTCGACACAATATTTAAGAGGGACTCCTATTCTCCATACAACCATAGACAATTTGACTAATGTGTAGTTTGATTGGACACTAGTAACTAGTGTGACGTGTCTAGTCCTTTCTTTGGTGCAGACTGAATTCTATCAGTCAGGTTTGCAATGTGGCCACCATTCTAGATAGCTCGCCATCACGGTGCACATTGATTTGATGGCATTAGATGATTGGAGGCAATCGGCAGGAAGCTTTGTCTGACCTAGGTTTCGTGCTAGTTGGCACTCACCAGTAAGCAAGGCGTATCTGTAACCTCGAAGGAACTCATGCCCCTTCTGAGATTCGAATCCGCGTCACCCAGTGCTGTAGTCAGTCAGAAACGTCACCACTACGCTATTGAGGCTCGCGACTGACCTCCTGTAGGACTGTAGTGGATACTTTGATTGGACACTAGTAACTAGTGTAATGCGTCTAGTCTGTGTACGTAAATGTTAACTGCATATATGCATTGAGTGATGATTTAGGCGAATTAAGTAGATTTCATCTTCAATTGTTTTTGAACAAATTGTAAGTTTATTAGGAAGCCACAAAGAAGTGTAACGGTTGAGTTATTTGAAAATACTATTGAGGAAATCCCAGTTAGGATAACTTAAAATTCAGTCTGATTGGTTATAACTTCTTTGGAATTTAAGTCTTCATTTTATCAAGACTTCATAACGTACTGCTTATCTTGATTGTACACACGATGGTTAACCTATATTCTACAGTGATTTTCGTAGAACACATTTATTCGAAGCTGCTGAGATTCCCCAGCAATCTACTAACATATTTCTGACAATAAGCTATAGCATATACTTATTTTCACAGTAAAGTAAAGATAGGATTATGCCTCAGGACGAATAACCTCATGTTCCCTAGACAGTCTGATCTGTATGTATGTGTAAAGTCTGAGCCCAAGTGGTATGTGATTTCATTTAATTCTGACTATATATGTCAAACAATCAATAACCTTTCGAACGAGTCTGTTCATAATCCTATCAAACGTACTATAATGATTCATATAATGAACTAACTAATATAGGATTGAATAGTGTTATTGTCGTTAGGCAAAGTCTACTAAAGGCTGTATCTTAGTACCAAAGAAGAGGAAGCTGGAGTCGACAAATGTCCAGTGTCAATTACGTTTCAGAATCCGGTGCTACCTCCAGCTTGGGTAAGTGGTTGGTATTATCAGTCCTACACAATAGATGGCTCGTAGCCTGGTATATGAGAAACTGCTCCAGCTAGCGTCTTCCTACGGCTGTATATGGGTGTCTTCCTTTAGCTAGGGTCAATTACTTCCTGAAGTAGTCGTATTTAAATAGAGTATAGAAACAAAAAGCTAGTAAATTATAGTAGGCTGAACGATGGTGACTGAAAGCCTATTCTGTCCTTGGTGCATATGTTTGTTCTTCTGTTAAAACTGAGTCATTCATTACTACGTCTTGCACATACACACCACTATTGTCCTTACTACTTTCGAACTACACAACCGTTTCTCTTTGTGTATTCTTAACGCTGCACTGACTCACTGAATCTTATGGAATGTAAGTATGCAGTCTTTAGAGATGAAGGTGATTTTTACGCAAGATCATAAGTCTGAAATAGGACTGTTGAATCGCATAACATGCCTGATGATAGTTCATTTACAACCAGAGGTTACTACGACACTTTTCAGCTCACAAGATCCTGACACCGTGGTCATCAGACATCTATGAATATACTATCTTCCAAAGTAAATTGACACACGAATTATGTTTCGTCCACTCGAGTTTGTCTTCCACAAGCACACATATGGATAACTTCAGGTTCAAAGTTCTCATATAGCAGTTATTTCTTCCTTTCTATATAATGCAAATGTGACGCAGCTCATTGGCATATCACGACTATCAATTGTCGGTTTCGAATCCCACCAGCTACTTCAGATTGAATAGTATCATTAACCTTCATACAGTATCTGTGGTTCACAGCCAGGGTAGCTGAGTTCTAAATACAACATACAAAAACATAACTGACGTCTTGATGACCATTATGCCATGGGCCTGACTAGTATTCATGATACATTAAGTACTTCGAAAAGTGTCTCAACGTGAAGCTTATTTCGGGCTATTAAAAGACTTCATTCTGATTTCAATGAGTTGGCAAGTTTGAAGCGACTTCTTCGCTATAAGATACTTTGGCGTTTTACATGCCGTCCCCGAATTTGGCTACACACCAATGCATTCATCGTCACTTGTAGTATACTAAACAACTCTTAATATACCCTTAGCTCTAATATAACCCGACCTAAATACTAGCTGTTACACGTAATCACCTCTTCCGAACAGGGACATATCCTTATGAGTCCCCAATGATACGT